TCGACCGCCTAGCAGGCAACCGCTTCTTTACGAAGATTGATCTTCGTAGCGGTTACCATCAGATCCGCGTCGTTGCAGCCGACCAGCCGAAGACCGCGTTCCGATCGCCATTCGGCCACTACGAGTTCACGGTGATGTCATTCGGCCTCACCAACGCACCCGCTACCTTCCAGAGGGCGATGAACGACATCTTCAGGGACATCCTGGAGCAGTACGTTCTCGTCTACCTCGACGATATCCTGGTCTATAGTCGTACCCTTGAGGAGCACCTGACACCTCCGCGACGTCCTTGACCGCTTGCGCATACATGGCTTCTACGCCAAGCTAAGAAAGTGCCGCTTTGCCCAGCACAAAGTGGATTTCTTAGGACACTACGTGTCTGATCAGGGTCTCCACATGGACGACGCGAAGATCACTGCTATTGCGGAGTGGCCCGCTCCCACATCCGCTAAACAGCTTCGCAGCTTCCTAGGCCTGACCAGCTACTATAGTAACTTCATCAGGGGATACGCTAGGTATTCCTACGTCCTTACCTCCACCCTCCTCCGGAAGAACCCACCCTGGGCTTGGACACCCCTCCACGAGGACGCCTTCCGCGCCCTCAAGAAGGCGGTGACATGCGCACCGGTTCTTCACCTACCTGATTTTAACCGCCCTTTTATCCTTACCACCGATGCGTCAGACTTCGCTGTAGGAGCAGTGCTTTCTCAGGTCTTCCCCTCATCTCCTGATTCCTCTCATCCTCGTATCCCTCGCTTCCCACCACCTACCCCTACCACTGCTTTCCGACTGACGCCTACTCGTCCAGCTACTGACGAGCCTTTTATTGACTATTCTCCTACCATCGCCGAGGACGGCACTGTCGAGTCTCGCTCAGGTGATTGTCCGATAGGCTTCTACTCCCGTCAGCTCCTGCCCGCCGAGATAAACTACACTGCTGATGAACCTGAGGTTCTCGCAGTAGTTTATGCCGCTCGGCACTGGCGTCACTACCTGCATGGGGCACCATTCACGGTGCGCACGGACAACTCTGTTGTCCAGGCTTTTCTGACAAAGCCGAAGCTCACTCCTCGACAGGCTCGCTGGTGGCGCGACCTATCCGAGTTTAGTTTCACCACTGAGCACATCAAGGGTGAGACTAATCGGGTCGTCGATGCCCTATCCCGGCGCTCTGACCACGATCAGGAGCACATCCAACTCTCTTCCATCTCGGTCAGCACTGTCCACCACTTGGTGATCGGCGAGTTTCACACTCAGTACCGCCACTGCCCCGACTATCACGATATCCACGCGACCCTTCGGAGTGGCAAGACCGTCCCGAACTACTCTCTCGGGGACAACGGTCTTGTGTACTGGCATGGTTCACAGGGCACCAGAGAGCCCCGTATTTGTGTTCCCTCCACTGGACAGCTACGTGTCCGAGCAGTAGCAGAGTTCCATGATCAGGCAGTTGCCGGTCATATGGGCTTCCACAAGACGTTGGCTCGTGTGAGCCGCCTGTACGTCTGGCCGAAGCGCAACGACTTTGTGAAGGACTATGTCGCAGAGTGTCCCACCTGTCAGGAGGTGAACAGTGCGAACCACCTACCTTATGGCTTGCTCCAGCCTCTTCCTATCCCTGAGGGTCGTTGGCAGTCCATCTCGATGGACTTTATCGGTCCTTTTCGACCTCCGACCCCCCGCGGTCATGATGCTATCCTGGTCGTCGTCGACCGCTTCACGAAGCGTGCACGCTTTGTTCCATGCCGCTATGCCATCAGTGCACGTGAGGTCGCCGACATCGTATTTGATCGAGTCGTGCGTGACCACGGCTTACCTCCGAGCATCATATCTGACCGTAACCCGCGCTTTACCAGCCGATTCTGGCGACGGCTCCACGAGGTGTACGACACTCAGCTCCGCTTCTCCTCGTCTTACCATCCTCAGACTGATGGTCAGACCGAGATCACGAACAGGGCTCTCGGGAATATTCTCCGAAAGATTGTTCGTGACGACCAGCAGTGGGATCTCCATCTTGCCCACGTGGAGATAGCCTACATCCACGCCGTCTCGCCAGCCACGGGGATGTCGCCTTACTATTGCGACCTCGGCTATCACCCGCGTGTTCCCGCGGACTTCCTTCGACCGTCCCAGATGCACCCCGACACGAGTTGTCCCGCGCTGGATGATTGGGTTGCACACATGACGTCGATTATGAAGACCGCACATGAGCACATAGCCGCTTCCCAGACTCGCATGGCAGCACGTGCGAACCGATCGCGGATGGATCACCCATTCAAGG